GATTTAAACGGACCGACACAATGCGCACATCCAGGTTCCCAATTCATTTGTGAGAGCTGATAAGACAGGCGATGTTTAAAGTGTTGTCACTGGATGAGTAAAGCGTTTAGGGTGCAAGGCTAAGTGAAATCCCAGGCATATTGGAGCCTACTTACATGATTGTTTTGTCTTAAGCTATGCATGATCAAGGAAAGTAAATTAAAATTTAGACTAAAATGTAGCTGTTTTAATATCAAAGATATAGAGATTATGAAAGATACGATGCAAAATTATAAATAAATTGACGCAAACTGCATTTCAGGTTAGTTCAATAATTAAAACCAAGCTCAGGTCCTGAACTTTCACGAGGAATGCATTTTATAAACCAATCTTACTTCAGAGGCTATTCCATTAGGCAGATTTGGGAAAACGTTATTGTTAGTTTATTGAATTTTATTGTTTACTATCGCCTACATAACTGCAAGTGCAAAAATATAATTTAGTTTAGCTAAATGGCACTTATCGTTATATTACCTCAATTAGTGCAAAAGAAGTGGCCTTCTTTTGTATACTTGTGAGTGCTAATTCTTACTCTTTTTATCATGCCTATGCTTACTACTTAATAGAATAAACCTTAATACGATTTCATAGTCTGGAGGGCAGTTTTAAGGTTGTCATTTTTATAAATCAGCTTCTTAAAAGGTTTTTCAGACATTGGAAATATATTTTGCAGAATGCTATATGAGTGACAACTCAACGAGTCTCTTGAAGTGTTAACGGAATAAGCGTAGCATCATAATTTATTCATCTTATCAGCTTTTCTATGAAAAAAAAACTATTTAATTTATTCCTTTAATATTTGCTAATTAGTAATAAATATAAATAGGAACAAACTACAAGTTCTTTGCATCTCTGGGGAAATAAATCACGTTAGTTTCCTTCTATTAAAAAACCCATTTCGAAGCTATTTCTTTAGACCCTGGTCTCGTTATTCAACTCCATTCAACGGACTTGCGCAGATCCTGCCTCCTTGTAACACCGGATACCAAGGCGGCAGCCGTTTGGTTCAACGCACTCCACTCTGTTATTAACACGCTTAATCAGGCCTGTCTGGCTGAATTGAATCGTCTTCTTCCCCGGCACCAGGTAATATATGTGGTATAACTAATCGATAAAATATATTACTCATGACTCCCATGCTAACTACTTGTAGGAGGATATATAGAATACATTAGATAAAAACGACTTTTACAGGATTTCATCTTGCACTTTTCTTGCTAAAACTACTAGATGCATGGGCAAAACTCTATTTTTATTAAAGTGTAATAGGAAATATTTGATGACCAAATAAATAGAGAGTCATACGACAGATTCTGGCAATAATTAGAATGTATCAAGTCAATGGTCCGACTCTTGAAATTATCATGAATACTATGGACTCTGGACAATACAATCAAGTTGCGATAACAGGGTAAAACTATTTCAATAATGGTAATTGTTAAATTTTTTAATTTAAAAACAAAGCTTCGTTCTAGGCAATGGAGCACTGAGCTTTGCAAGCTCCTGGAGACAATATCAGATTCCCTGCAAGGTTCTCATATATTGGGGAGCTTTTACAGTAAACATTAATCAGAAATTAGATTGAAATGGCAGTTCCTGCTCAACAAAAATGTAGAAAGATAACCGATAAGGCACATAAAAGTCTCCTGGGGATTACATTAAATAGTAGCCAAAATATTGTACTTCGAGATGATATTATCTTTGCGTAAGAATTGTTCAGGTGAGATAATTTGAACTAGTTTGGTCATATTCGCAATTCGTGCATAGCTTCGCTTAGCTATATTAAAGAGTAATATCTATTTTATCCGGATGGTCCTTAATATTAGATTCATTTGCAAACAGAACTAGGCATCATCTGAAATCCCAGCATGAATCGAACCAGAGCAGTGTTGATTCAGAAATAAAAGCCTTATTTCATTATGACTTTCAATTCAAGGGATCCGTGCAGCTTCACGTGTCAAGGCTTTACTAATAACAAATATTTTGGCTGAGTCAATTTTTATCCTATTGCAAGCTTTGTTGGTTTATATCCTATTTCTAAACAGAATCTTTCTCTAAACTGATGTTGAAATATAAATTTTGTTCCATAGCAGAATTTGATTATATTACTAATTGCAAGATAAAATCATATGCTATACTCACTTCTTAGACCGGAGTATAACCTATATCTTACTTTATTTTCCAATTCATCAGACAGGTACTATCCTCACCTAGCTTAGGGATTGCCCTCGTGAATGATTTTTTACGTCCTACTTCGCCACGTTAATTTGA